AGCAGCTGAAGTCCACACAATGGCTGATTATTTGAAAAAGTTGATACTGTAGATATTCCTTTCCTGGTGTAAAGCAGTATTTCAGAAAACTCAGTGGAATCAGATCCATAATTATTTCCTCACAAAAAGGAAGTGAGACACATTCATGCTGTTTTGGTGTGTGCTCATTTTTGTAACGCAAAAAAACCCATGTACATGTATCACTAAAGTAAACAAATGTGAGTCTGATTGTGTCCAGGAAGCATAAAATGGGAACAAAATGCTTGTTTTGCTGCTTTGCCATTTATCTATGCAAGATGTGTAATCTCCCTGCTTGAAAGCCCACAATAGCATTTTGGGATACCAAAGAAGGCTTTTTATTGTTGGATTGTTCAACAAAGTGTGCCCTCTGGGATTACCCTTTGTGATTGGGAAAGAAAGAATTTTGTTTCATTTCTTCATCTGGAAAATTTTTTGCTTGACTAGCAACAAGGCTCCTGGGTCACTAAGTAATAGTGTTCTGCCCTAATTGCCTTCCACTTATTTATGTTTCTAAGTTAGGCCTTTGGTAGTCGTTTTTTCCAAATTATATAAGGTCGATATCCCACTGCCCTGGAGAACAGAACAGTTTATAGAATGTTTATATACAAAAATTGCTTTTGTAAATTTTACTTCATGTAGCAACCTTAAGGTTTTTCTCAAACGAGGATGAATCAACACCAAAATACACTAATTTTTTTCCCCCTAATCTTGTCAGTCTCCCCTCCCCACATGCATATTTGTTCTCCTTTTACATTAACTAAGAATGTAGTCAAGTGGCAATTTGAGAAAATACGGTCTCAAGCTCCCAACTCCGCCTACACCACAGACAAAAATAAATGTGTAACTAGAATGTGGTGTAGAATACATGCAGTCCAGACAGCAGAAACATAGCTAGGTTTCTCCAGATCTGAGAGAAGGAGTAGAAGAAAGAAGCCCGAACGACTCTTTGTTGACTCAGTGTCACTGAGTACATGATGCTCATTTAGGCAAAGGCACGTTTGGTGGTAATATCATCTCCTGGTGTTCTGAGTGCTACTGGCACCAACAATTTCTGCTGAGTGATTTATCAGTGCACAGCCCTGCATCATGGGGGTTGTTCAGCACTGTGCAACAAACACTGAGGCTGCTTCCTAAACTAATTCATATGTTTTTTTTCAAGTAGTAAGTTGTTTAACAGGAGGAAGAGAGCAACGTTTTTTACTCACGTATCATTTTCAGCTTCTTTTTTTCATTTTATCCTGTTTTAAGGTCACTGCCTTTACATTGTAGGACAATAGATTTTTTCTCCAGATACTTTCTAGCTCTAGATTTCTTTTGAACTACCCTCCTGAATGACACTTAATGTACTGTTCTCCCACTCTTATCTTCACACTTTCTTATATGATGTTCCTTACGCTTAGAAATCCTTACTCTCCATGCCAAATATCCACCCACTCCATGTTCACATTCCTCCTTTAAACTGTGTTTCCATAAAGTCTATCAAAAATAATCTGCAAGTTGAGAAACATATCGACTCTGCCCTGAGCTCTGACAGTCTGATTTCCTACTGATCATCAGATTTCCTACTGCTGGCTGAATCCTTTAACTTGTGCATAATACTCCATAAATCAGGGATTCATTTTTCCTTAATATATCATGTACTGCCTTTTTTATTAAAAATATATATGTATTTTATCTTTTTTAAAGTACCCCAAAGTTCAGCCCATCTGGTTTCCTAGAGGCCATCTGGCTGAGCACTGCTGCTTGTTAATTTGCTGTTTGCAAATTAACAGAATTTATGGAAGCAGCTACCTATGAATTGTCGAGCAGTAGGGAGTTATCACTTTGGGATGGTGTTTATGTTTGCTTTTGGGTTTGTTTGGGTTTTTTTTTGTGGGGGCAGGTTGTTTTTTGTGGGATTTTTTTACGCAAAACAAGGGAAAGAACTGTTGAAATTATAAAAGCATATCTGATTAGGAGTATAAGTTGAAATTTAGAATGCATGAGGCATATCTAAAAACTTCTGGATGGTAAGATCTGACAGGCAGCTATGACTATTTCATGACCTAGCCTGGCAGGCTTGTGCGCTTTGTTCTTCATGTGTAGCAAAGGTTTGTTATGCGGCTTTGGAAGACAATTTTCTGGGGGGTAAAGGATCTATCACAACCAGCTGGTTCACTGCTGGAGAGCTTCCTCTAAGGATTTGAGCATAAAACTTCAGGAAGCTCAGTGAAATATGTAGGTACCTTCCAGTGTTATCTTTTGAAAGATTGAATATTTGGCTTCATATTCACTTCAGTTTCTTCTTCTTTCTTAAGAGGCTTTTTTGCTTTTTGCTATGAAATAGGCACAAGTACTTGGAAAGCAATAAAAGAACAAAATCAGGCCATGTAGATAAGAAGAAAAAAGGAGATAGATACATGCATTGTTTTCTCTTTAACCATATAAGTTTTTTACTCTGGAGAGCATGTCTTAAATTAACTCAACTGTATCTTGTGCTGAATGTAAGCCACTGAATGAAGGGGAACAGGTAGGCAAAAGCTTTCAGGTCTGGAATCCGTGAGGAAGTGCCACCTCCTTTTGGTTCTCTCACCACAGCCGTCCTGTTGTCTCCATCATGGAACGTGGAACGTGGGGAGTGCCATGTTCTTGGAATGGTGTGACTGGGGAGAAGCCTCTGCTCTGAGAACCTCACAGACCTGTTGTTTTCCATAGCTCCCTTGGGCTGTCCTTCCCCTATGAGACCTGGGTCCAGTATCTTCGGAATAGGGAAACCTTCAGGCTGCCTAAAATATATTCACCTTTACAAGAAAAGCCTTTTTTTTTTTTTAATCTGAATCTACCAGTATATAAGCCTATTGAAATACTTTTCTTCAGTGTTTCTAAAATATGTACATTCTTCATCTGTTTGCTGATTGCAGCATAAAATTCAGCCTAGAAATTAAGGAAAAAAAGAAAAGTTGTAAGCCACTCTTCTGTATGCTTGGCAGCAAGAGAAGTAAATCTAAACACTGCCCGCTAACAAAACCAAAATTGTACAATCATTGCTAAAACAAATGAAGCTGGCAGGTGGCATAAAAAAAAAAAAAAAAAAAAAGAGAGAGAGAGAGAGAGAGAAGGTACTATCTTCAAATACAGTTCTGATCTTAAATTTCTGATCTTAAATTTCCATTTGCCTGTGTTAAAATGATTGTCTGTGAGTGAAATCAGGTCCAATTCCTTTTTCTTTAATGCATCAGGGGAAAGCCTAAAGTTGGGGTCAGAATGGATCCTATTGGAGTTCAGTACGTAACTCCCAGAAAACATTTTCCATTAAACCCTGTCGGGGTTAGTTATCAGACTTCTTTAAACTCTGATATAAAATTTTTAATGCAGAACCGAACCAAATGCCTTGTTTTAGGAGTTGATCTTGTTGATAATGGACCAGCATAACCTCTCACCCCCAAACCTTTTGTTTTTCAGTCTCAGCAGTGTCATTACTGGCCATTGCTGAAGATATTCTCCTGAGTGCTCCCAGCCGGATCAGGCTGGGCATGCATCAAAACAACATTTTACTCTCTGCCTGACCTAACTTTTCCTTTCTCTCATTCAAGCAGATTATTGAGAACCATCAAGTTTTATGTGTTCCTGAGCTATGAGGAAAACAGGAAGCAGACAAGGAGATTCTTTCCTGTCATGCTGCTCTGTAAATGAAGTCCTATATGTGTAGTTTGTAGTCCCAGGGAAGTCTGGACACACTGAATGATGCTTTTTAGAAGCTATATTTTCCTTAAGCTTTTGTTAGTTTCTTCCTTTAAAATACTTTTGTGACAGAATTATGCACATTTATCCCTTGCCTCTGAGGCTGCAACCTGGAAGGGTTGGGATTGTCAAGAAGCATTATTTAAGTCTCTCAGGAACTCACCTCTGTGCTCAGGAATTCATCTCTGCAGTTCTCCGAATGAAAACAGATGCTTTGAATTCATGCAGTGGCTGCATACATTTTGCATTCCCCAGTGGGATTGTTCTGTACCTCATAAACAGAAACACCACTTTGTCTGCCAGATTTTACCTTGTACGGTTGTGTGGCTGTGGGCAGAGCTCAGAACACTGAGGTTATCACAGAGAGAGGCCTTATGTTAGTCCTGGGGGCTAGGACTGTGTGTTTTGCTAAACTGGCTGGAGCAGGATCTTAATATCTTGCAAACCTATGGATTTAACATGGAAAACCACTCCTTTGTCATGAAAATGAGATGCAGTAGGAAACAGCCCCTTTTTTCCTGTGTTGCAGACAATAAAGAAAGTGTCTTCCAATTTCCATGTAGTATCTTTTGTCACATAGAGTAAGAATGTACGTAAGTCAGCTTTAGTTGTGGGTTTGGTTTTTTCCCTTTTCCAGTAAATATTTCTATTATACAAAAAGTTTGAAGTTCTAAAGCAAAATATTAAAGTATTTCTATTAAGATACCCTGGATCTGGTTTTATGTGTTTTGTTTGTTTTGGTTGGTTGTGTTGTTGGGTTTTTTTAAATTTTTTGAGATAGCTAATGCATGCAGAAACTTTGTTTGTGTATCTTAAACTGTAATCATGCTTTGTCTTTGAAAACTTAATCTATGGTAGAAACACGAGAAAAGCACCCTGTTTTGCTCACATTTGGTTTGAAGGAAGGAAGTTTAGTGGTTTTTAAGTACTTCAAAGCTGCACAACCGAATTCAAAATGTTGCACGGATTCCGTACGCTTTTACAGCTCTACAAAAAGGAGTGCAAACAGATACCTTTATAAGATGGTAATGTTTTAATGTTTTACAACAGCTTTGCAGCACAACAAAGCACAAAGTTCCAAGAAGCAGCTGAGGGTTGGTGCAGTTCAGCTGTGCTCGTGAGCACGCAGCTCCCGCTGCTGACAAATGAGAGTCGCTTGACTTGACCACAGGCAGCGTGAGGTCAAGATATATTAATAAAATGCTTTCTGAAGTGTTTGTTTCTACTCTTTTTTGTATATCCTTGTTGTGACGTGACAGAGCATTCGAGGTCAAGTGCCAAGCTATCAGTGGGGATGGAGTAAAGCGCCTTTATCTGCGCCTTCACTAACACGGGGCTCGGCCGTGACTCACAGAGGGTAAGTTAACTGATTATACTTAACTTTCTCTACTATGGTAAAATGAGTTGCAGAGGGAACACACTGAAAGCCAAGGGCCTCTAAATACTTTTCCCTTTTATGGAATAGAGCTCCCAGATTTCCATTTCCTGGAGATTGTACTCTAAGCCTACACAGTGGTAAAAGAAAGTTCTCTGCATTCACTGATCTATATCTGACTACAAATTTGAGCTCAGGGGATCATTTTTTTCCTAACTATTTTAAGCAGTAAGTTTATAATAACAGACCAAAATGTTAAAAAGCACTCCATCCTCTCTTTTCTTTCTTTTTCTTACTTTTTTTTTCTTTAGATTGTCTCCTCCTAGTGTGGGAATAAGCAGAATCTGGTGAATTGGGTAGATCATTTGTCTGTGTTTTTTTTAACTCATTTTGTAGGTGCAAAAGGCTCGTGCAGACTGAGATTGTAGGTCTTCACCCACATCCACTCTGCCTGGGACATGTGAGTTAATCTCTACCAGTATTTAATTTTAAAAGGTAATTTTGGAGCTCTTGCAATTTCTAAAAGAATGGAGTTTTTGGGGAGATCCTTTACTCTGATAAAACACTACAATAATGCCATGACATCCTTTGATGGGATATAGGCCAGACAGAGTTTGATCAATGCCTAACAAAAGAAATAAGAGTCTTGAAATTGTGTCAGTACCTGAGATGCTAACATGTGCTTATGCACCCTGACTGTTTTTAAACTGCAGGTGTATTTTTTTATCTCTCCTTTCAGTGTTTTCAGGGACAATAATGACAGTTGTTTCAGTTGGCACTTCACTGTACTGCGTGTATTGTTAACATATCATTTCCTCCTTTGACTGACAAGTGCTTATTCTTGCGGAAAGGAGACAAAGCTGATAAAATTACTGGTAGCATGATTCCAAAGGCTGTTCAGCTGGCAGATGAGCCAGCCTTAGAACCAGGATAGTGATGCTCGAGGTTCAGTGAGGCTGTGAGCTGGTTTTGTAAACAGAGGTGTGAATTTCTGTAAGCTCCAAGGCTGCACTCCTCCCTAATGCTCTGCAGAAGAAAGAAATACCCCTTCCAGGGAAATACATTTTCCAAGAACATTTCTTTCTTTTCTTTCTAGATCTGTGAGATGCAGATAAGCTCCTCTAATTCTTGTTAGAGCGTTCTCACAAAGCCCCCTTTTTCTATACATTTTGACTCTGTGACATTTGCTGGGGCTGTTCTCATTGCCCAACCAAATGGGCATTAGGTCACTTCAGCAGTGATGGGAGGACGTTTATTCATTAATATCTTAAGGTTCCACCATTTCTAAACCTTTGCCTTTCCCACCAGTAATTGCTGCAGAAAATGGCAGAACTCCTTGCACACCACGGAGCACGGAAGTGTTTCCATTGATTAAATCCATTTGCATTTACAATGTGTGATGTTTGTGCTGGTTAAACATCATAAAGTCCTTAAAGGATCTGGACTACTGATTTTAAGAACACTGCACGAGTTTAAAATAAGCTTTTAGATTGAAAAAATAATCATTCAGGAGCTCTAAATCATTTAGTTTATTAATTGAACTACAACTTTATGTTGAAATACCAACATGTAGTAGCCCTCACTTTGGCAGCGTACAGGACTGCAGCAGTGCAGTCAAGGTGTGCAAAGATGGTGTTTGTTTTAAGAAGCCTAGGAATATGAATAATTATGTGCCAGCTTTCACTGCTCCAATATAGTCCTCAACACTGGGGTTTTCTGGAGAGATATTAGGAAAAAATGGAAAGTCGGAGGAAGAAATTTTCCTACTGATCAGCACAAAGATTTGGAGCTTATTCCTATTTGCAAGATAGCTCTGTAAGGAAATCAGAGTAGGGTTCTGACTGTGTCAGAGACGGCCTGAGCTCAGTCCACTCCAAATCTGGGGGTTGTTAAGGTGGCGTAATTTCATCTTTCTCCCCTCCACTCCGCCTTGGCTGTACTTTCTGTGCTGCATCTCTAAGACAACACAGCTCGGGATTTGTCCCTTTCTATTCTTAGACAAGCCTGCTGATTTATTTCTTTTTCTTTCAAAGTTTTCTTGCTTTTTAAATCTAAAAAATGAACTGAAACTTGATGTGCTGAACAGCTCTTTCTTGTTTCAAGATAACTTGCATTGCTCTTTGTAAGTTTAGTATGTACTGGGAACTCAGCTAAGCCCGGGAATAAAGCACTTTGATGCAATAGCTTATACAATTCCATGCAGGACTGCAAACATGCTTTGGCCATGACTCAAAACATTCCTGATTTTTCAGGGCCAGCATTCTGTTGAGTTGAATTTATCAGAACCATTATAAATTCATAAGGCAAACACTGAAGTAGGATTAGATAAACAGCCACATTTATATCTTCTTGGCTTTGTTTTTGTTCAAATTTGAGTTCTTGCAAACTCAGAAATTGGGTAGGATGGCAGGACTTTGCTACAGAGGTGAAAAGAAAGTCTGTGCCACTTTTTTTAGTTACCTTGCTTCCATCTCATCTTCATGTGTTGTTCATAGTCCCCTGGTGGGTGACTGTTGTTTGATACTTAATTGATGAAACACAGAGATGTTTAATGCTACTGTTAACTGTCTAATGTCTGAGGGTTTATTAAAGATTATATAATCATAAATGTCTGTTTTCCATCATATTAGGGACTTGAAAGATGTTTGCTTTAATAAACATTTTAAAAGCCGTAGAAAGATTCCTCTGCTCTTATTTGAAGTCAGAGATGGGGAAAATCATGATATAAACATGAACTTCCACTTACTTCAGTAGAGGTAGGAATTCTCCTGTAAGAGGTTCAAAATGTTTACAAAAGCTGGAAACATGCTGTCCCTAAAGCATTTACTGCTCTGAAAAATCTTCATGCTCACTGTTCAAAAACAGTCTGATTCATAATGATGTCATATATGCTGCATCTTTTTCACAGTCTTTATGAAAGGACTTCAATGAAATAATTATTTTCCCTGAACACGCTAATACTTGTGTAGGATCATTCTTATAATCTGTTAGTTCTGCACTGAATTTCATGTGAGGTAGCCTTGTATTTGTCTTCTAGTAAAAGAGAAAATTAGGTTTCCAACATAAAGTGAAATAACTGTAATAAAAGCATCAATCTTATCTGCTTCTGCAGTCCAAAGTTTTCACGCATCCTGCAGGTTTTACAACACAGATCTTTTGTTGTGAGGGCTGAGGTGAGGAACTCGTCACTATTGAAACTGCTTCACTATTTCTTGTGAATGTTTCTGCCTCTTCTTTCCTTTTGCCTTTTTTTTTTTTCAAGATCAGCAGATTTATTTTGACAATTTTAATTGTCAGTCTCAATAAACCAGCATGTTCCTGACTACATTTCTTTGCCCACCCCTGAAACGGAAGGGAAAACTGTTGAAAGTTAATCTTAGAATTCTGCTAAATGCCTTGAACTACAAATCATCTCCCCATCTCAGCCTCTTTATTCCATCTATCTTGAGTTCCATAAGAGTAAAAGAATTGAGATGAGTGTAGGAATTCTGGTTTGGGAGCAGATGAAATATTTTTGGAGGTTGAACTTGTGCTTTCTGGGTATATTTATCTCCTGGGTAAGCTGCTGAATTTGTTATGGTACTGTTTGAGTGTATTGCTCCATGTTGTGCTCAGCTGGGAATTTGTAAGGGGGATGCACTCAGCCGGCCCCGGAGCTCACAGGAGCCGTGCCGCAGGCGGTCTCCGATAACCGCGCTGTGTGTGCTCTGCAGGCGCCGCCGGGGAGCGCAGTGATGCGTTGCCGAGGTCAGTGATGTGTTGATGAGGACAGTTCCCTAACTCTCGGGCAGGTGTCGCAGTAAGTATTGCAGTCCGTCCACTGCTGCTATAAGGACTGATGTGTGCTTGGCACTGCTCTTCCTCAAACCTCGGTACGGGCTCTCTTATCCTGTGAACGCAGTACCTTCCCTTGGCACTAATAACAAGAATTTGCTCAGCTAGAGGGCAGAGATTTTTTCCCCTATTGTCTTGTGCAGAGGTACCAAGTCTTTGCACAACTGACGTAGGCCTTGCTCTTGCTCAAATGAAGAGTGCCACCATCTGGGGTTCCAGTTGTGCTCCTCTGAGATCTGAGGTCACTCTCTGTAGCACGAAGACTTTGTTAGTTGCTAAAAGGCACAGTATGGAAGAGATGACTGAGAGGGAACCTCATCAATGTGTATGAGTATCTGAAGGGGGATTGTCAAGAGGACAGAGCCAGGCTGTGCTTGGTGGGGCCAAATAGGACAAGAGGCAACAGGCAGAAACTGCTGCACAGGAATTTCCACCTGAACATGAGGAAGACCGAGAGTGACTGAGCCCTGGAACAGCTTGCCCAGAGAGGTTGTGGAGTCTCTTTCACTGGAGATATTCCAGAACCACCTGGATGCAATCCTGTGCCATGTGCTTTAGGATGACCCTGCTGGAGCAGGGAGGTTGGACCAGGTGATCCCCTGCTGTCCCTTCCAGCCTGACTCATTCTGTGATTCTGTGATATCCAGGATGCTGTTGACTTCTTAGAAGATTTTTAGAGAAGGTAATTTGGTCACAGTCATAGTGACAAAATAAAAATCAATAAAATGGAGGGAAGAGGTAGAAATAGCAACAAGAATGGAAGGTTTTGAATGCATTTGATAAGTTATACTTGACCTTGAAAGCTTTAGTTAATAAAACATAAGATAGCATTTTTAATTTTAAACCTTAATGCTGTTTGTTATTATAAAGCCATCTCAGTGTTAGAGCATAGAGTTTTAAACAGATTTGGTTTGTCTTTTTGGCATCTAACACAGCCTGCAGATCACGAGGCCTCTCTGAGCTTATGCCTTCAGGCTGACTTGAAACAACCTTTGCCAGCAGTGCATGGTCCTGTTAGTCCCCAGTGCAGCTCCACGTGCTTCACGCTGCCCACCATGCCAACCTCACCTGAAGACAAGGGACAAGCACAAGAGGCACAGCACAGCAGTTCTCCTCCAGCCAAAGTAAGCACTCTTACAAAGGTGTTTTCTGGCTCTTGTTGGAAACCCGAGGCTGAAACCTGTTTGGAGTTTATGGAACAAAATCGAATCATTGCTCTGAATTAGTGTGTTTTGCTTAGTTGATGAAGCTGTGAATGATCCTTCAGTTGATATTCTTAGAGTTCTTAAAATATTTTACAGCCTAAGGGAGGAGAACTCAAGTTGCCCAAGCAGTTGTTTATCATTTTGATCTGGAGGATTATAAATGGTTCAGAACAGACAGACATGTATCATGGTGTCCAAAGATGTCCATTCTGATGTGACTACAGAAAACTTGAACCTTTGAGAAAATAATTTAGGCTTGTACTTCACAGTAGTCTTGGAACAACTAGTGTTGCTTTTACAGATGTTATGCAATTCATGAGGGCTTTTTTGGTTTGTAGTCTTTCTCAGCAGCAGCTGAACATACATGGGAACTATGCAGAGAGCAGGTGGGTGCTCCCCAGATATATTCATCCTTTTGCCTCTCAAATTTGTGGCATCTATATGTTTTTACATGTCTTCTTGGTAGATAAGTTACAAAAGTCAATAAGACATGGCTCTTCTCCCTTTTCAATAATCTATACCATAGATAAAAAGTAACTTTATGTTTTAATAAACTGGGGTTGTTTGGGTTTTTTAACCACTATCTTAGCTGAGGTAAAGAGCCTGTACTGATTACAAAATCACAGCTCATCCAAATCACCTAATTTTATGCAAACTGGTGCAAAGAAAGAGAGGATTTATAATCTGGCACATCCTCAGTTCAAAATCCACTGACATTGGGTTTGAGGACACTACATTCTACACTTTAGGTGAAAACATCCGCTGCTCTAACACTGCTGGAAAATGTTGTCAGCAGTGAGCCCTACACTGATTTGTCTTGCATTCCATCCAAGCTGCACATTGTGCTGTGTTGGTTTCCTGGTTGAAGATTAACACCCCAGGTGGATGCAAGTTCATCAGACTATTAGCTGAGAACATATATCAACTCAAGAAGATTTTATTGGGCCTTTTAAACTCACCTATGTGAAAAGTACTTTATTGCAAAAGACTTGCTGGGTAAAACATACCCAAAGAGGGAAAAACTATGTAAAGCTGGCAGACATCAGTGATTCTGGTCCTAAATGTGCTTGTCAAAGGGGAGAAATGAAGATTTCCAACTACCTAATCTAAAAAAGTAGTTATTTTTTAAATTCATTTTACAGGCCTTTTAGAGATGGGTCTGAAATGAACTGTGATAATGTGATAGTTCATGAATCAGTTAACTGTGCAAAAGGCTTCATTTTAGATATGTGGTTATTGTCAGGCACAAAGTGGCAGTGGAAGGATTTTAACCACACGCTGCTCATAAGCCTTCTTAAGTTACGGTTTGCCACTGGCCCACGTTGTGAGGGTTTCATCTTGTTAATACCTGTTGTCTCTCTTGGGTCTTGCTGCAGACCACGTTCTACAGTGTGACTATGAGTCACTATAAGTAAATAGCTTATTATTGCGAGATGAGGACTTGCAAGCCAGGAGAGGGCATCAGAAACAACCAACAACTGGTGGATTTGTCTTCTGCCATTCAACAAAACTTTCCAAGTCTGGAATCTCATCTTTTCTAAAGTGCTGGCTGGCACTTAACAATCTCCTCATTCTGTTTCAGGAGGTGCTTCCCCACCTTTCCCCTGCATGACCAAATGCACACAGATTCACTAATCAGTTCTGGCAGAAAGCAAATGAACCTCACATCACGTGTAGTTTCCTGCATGCTCCGAGTACCTTTCACAAGATGGGAAAACATGGGTTGTATGTCTCAAGTTCATTTTGAGAAAAATACGAGTTTCCATTTCAGTATTTCTTACAGCAGCCAGTGTTCACCATGCTGACTAATTCTAAACAAAAATCACCACAGTATTTCTTAGCTCTGTGTTCCTAAGGGAGGTAGGTGTGAAATTCCCATTTACACAGGTGCAAGGGCACTGAGCCTAATTCAAAGAACGTTAGCCTCTGATTTGAACTAAGAGCATGTAGTTGAACCCTGTTTGTGTGCTGTCTTGTTGCAGTAAGTATTGAACATTTTAGATTTTGTTTATTCAAAATAATTTTTCCCACCATAAATCATAGAACGTCAGGGTCAGATGTAACTTTTAGTCACTTCCATCTTTAAATTTAACAAGATTTATTTCACATAGAGTAATACAATATAAAATGCTTTCTCTGACACTTTTAAAAACTCATTTCATGTTTTTAGTGTTAAAAATGTAATTTCTACACATGTAATGCATACCTGCATCAAAGAAGATTACATCCTTACCAGTTATGTTACAATTTATAGTGGCCTATAAATCTCCCTACACTTTCTGGATTGGTTGTGAGCTGTCATCCTTCCCTCTTTTTAAATCAAAAATCCCTGTTTCTATTTCCAGCTTGCTCTCCATATATCCTGATCCCTGTTTTACTGGCTCTTCTGACTGCTGAGGAAAAAAAATCTTTCTCAGGCATTCATAATGCTTTTCATACACTGATTATTCCATCATTCAGACTTCTGCATTTCTTTTATCTCTCATTACCCCTATTTAAATTTGTATTGTACTTTTGTCAGACCACTGCATGTTATCTGTTTTGTTCTGAAGGGGGTGTCCCATCTTTGCTTTGTTCTCCTGTTTCAACTAGATACAGTTACATTACCTTACTTGCTAAACTCCAAGCTGAGCACCTCATTTAAACGTTTTAAATCAAGCTTGTTCAAAAGCCCATGTCATACCAAAGACTGCTCCCTCAGATGCATAACTTTTCTGAGGTCTTTCACATAAGTCTCTGTTTTGGGCCAGATTTTTTCTGAAATTCCATCGAGATTTTTAATTAATATCTAAGAATATGATCAGGTGGCAGAGGATTTTCTTTTTTCTATTTTTTTTTTTTCCCCGAATGCCTTAAAGAATTCAGGTGATATACACTAAAGCTCTGTCATCTGACTCTGGCATACCAGGTCTTTTTGTATTCCCCCCTCATTAGTGTTCAAATCCATCCAAATCTGGCTGGATTATAAAACTTTCAGAAACACGTTTTCTTTATGCTTAGTGAGGGTCTGGTAGAATTTAACAGCCAGAATGTCTGCAGGTCCTGTCTGCACCCTGAGAATCCTGGTCCTCTTGGGTATTCTGTTGTGGACCAAACTGCATGTGCCGCCCTCTCAGCCCTGCACACACTTCCCTGCAAGAGTAAGTGGCACAAGATCATCCTGGTGGAGCATGTGGGGCAGCTGCCACCTGCGCAAGAGAGGTGGAGTCAGTTTTACCCTACATTTTTAAGGGGGCAGGGCTTGGAACCAAAAGGAAGCAAAACCTTGGGTAGCAGGGCAGCCACTGGTGGGGCAGCTGTTGGGAAGAGGTGAAGAGCAGGCTGGTCTGGAAGCTAAACAAGGAGAGCACAGTTAAAGGCACACAATGGGAGGGTGATGGAAAACTTCTGTGTCATCTTGGTGCAGTTGTACAGCTTGGTGAGACAGACGGAGCTTCGTGTTAAAGCTGCTCTTCCAAGACCTGCATAAAGCAGCCTGAGCTCTCTGTTCAGAGTGTAACCATTCCTTTTGATTCGAGCCAGCTGGCCCTGCAGAGATTCACTCCCTGCCTCTTCCTGCCCCTCTCCTGCAGAATGTACAGTGGGTTTGGACAACAGGAGCCACGAGGTTTCACTTGTCTAGCTGCTGAACTGCTACAGCTGCTGATCGAGATTAATATTTTCTATCTGACCTGAACTAGCCTTGGCTGCAGCTTCTTGCTTTTTCCTTTCCTTTTTTTTTTTTTTTCTTTTAACTTTTCTTTTATTTTTTTTTCTTTTTAATAAGCTGTTTTTAGAGTCCTAAAATGGACTTGAGTGACTTCAAGGCTGATGTTACGTCATTCAGGAGCATTTGCTTTTTGGCAGCCGTGAGATGTGTGTAAACAATCTGCCTGTGTATTCAGCTGCTTTGCCCTACCAGCAGGGCAGTCACCTGAAGTTCTGTCACTGACAAAATATTTGATTACTCAGTAACATTTTCGAGAATATTACTAAATATTGCTTTCAAACTGTTGTCATCAAGTGTCAGTTGTGCACTTGACTCACATATGCATTGGCATTCTAACATTCACAGTCCGACAAGGGTGTTTTTCTAAAACTTAAATCTTCCTGGTGTTTTCTTGGCGTGTTTCCCATCTTGCTCTGCTGTGATTGACAAGGTAAACTTGCCAAGGAAATTCATAGGAGAATTACGAGTATAGAACTGTAGCGCTGCATGACATGTTTTGGGTTTAGTTAAAAAAAAAAAAGAAACTATTTACAATAGAATCAAATATCCTGAATCATGTGTCCAAATCAAGGCATATTTAATTGCTTTTGAGAGGGAGAAGGGTTATGATGGGAAATTTCCCCTCCAGCTGTTTTTTGGTTTTAATCTGAATGTAGTACTTGGGGTAGAAGTAATCATTTTTTTATTCCATATGAGAAATCCACAGTACTTCATTCCAACTTGATGTGCCTCCACTTTGGTATCTCACATGGAACCGATTCCTTCTCTTCAACTGATTGGCATCATTGTGCAGAAGGTGTGGGATGAATTTCTTGCGGCAAGGTGTCATACTTTTCAAGCAGGCAAACATGCATTATTATTCAGTGCCAATTTCTTTTCTTTCTTAAAAAATATAACTCTATTAAATATTGCAGTCATATTTTTTTAAAAATATTTTTTCTGAGTAATGTGAAGGAAAGCCATGTGGAACTCTTAGCAAAATAACATTAAAATTATTTTCTGATATTTTAGGTGTCATCTCCACTTAATACCCTATTTATTCAGGCTTTCATTACACACAAGTACTACTTGGAGGGATTGTGTGCTCGAGTTAGCCCTGTTAGGCAGAGCTGCTTTTCACTCCTGCATTCAGCTCATAAATTCACCAAAGTGTTGCACATTTACTTTAGTAGAGGAATGGTTTGCTGTGTAAAAATCACAGTGTCTGCCGTTCTAAAGCTTTCTCATTAGTTCCATGCCTACTGAATTCAGCTTGCATGCTTTGAAACTTTTCAAAGAAAACTGATATTCCAGGTCGTCTTCATCTCTTTTTAGTAATTTAAGTGTAGGTCTGTAGATCACATTTGTCTTATCTAACTAGAGCTAATTCTCTCTTAGTTCAGTCATTTTCTCTTTTAGCCAAATTGAGCAATGGACATTATTTTTCACATAGAGCATCAACATACAGTGGTTTGAATTTCTGTTCAACTACATTTTTGTGTTTGTCACNGAATGTACAGTGGGTTTGGACAACAGGAGGCACGAGGTTTCACTTGTCTAGCTGCTGAACTGCTACAGCTGCTGATTGAGATTAATATTTTCTATCTGACCTGAACTAGCCTTGGCTGCAGCTTCTTGCTTTTTCCTTTCCTTTTTTTTTTTTTTCTTTTAACTTCTCTTTTAATTTTTTTTTTCTTTTTAATAAGCTGTTTTTAGAGTCCTAAAATGGACTTGGGTGACTTCAAGGCTGATGTTACGTCATTCAGGAGCATTTGCTTTTTGGCAGCCGTGAGATGTGTGTAAACAATGTGCCTGTGTATTCAGCTGCTTTGCCCTACCAGCAGGGCAGTCACCTGAAGTTCTGTCACTGACAAAATGTTTGATTACTCAGTAACATTTTCAAGAATATTACTAAATATTGCTTTCAAACTGTTGTCATCAAGTGTCAGTTGTGCACTTGACTCACATATGCATTGGCATTCTAACATTCACAGTCCGACAAGGGTGTTTTTCTAAAACTTAAATCTTCCTGGTGTTTTCTTGGCATGTTTCCCATCTTGCTCTGCTGTGATTGACAAGGTGAACTTGCCAAGGAACTTCATAGGAGAATTATGAGTATAGAACTGTAGAGCTGCATGACATGTTTTGGGTTTAGTTAAAAAAAAAAAAAGAAACTATTTACAATAGAATCAAATATCCTGAATCATGTGTCCAAATCAAGGCATATTTAATTGCTTTTGAGAGGGAGAAGGGTTATGATGGGAAATTTCCCCTCCAGCTGCTTTTTGGTTTTAATCTGAATGTAGTACTTGGGGTAGAAGTAATCATTTTTTTATTCCATATGAGAAATCCACAGTACTTCATTCCAACTTGATGTGCCTCCACTTTGGTATCTCACAGGGAACCGATTCCTTCTCTTCAACTGATTGGCATCATTGTGTAGAAGGTGTGGGATGAATTTCTTGGGGCAAGGTGTCATACTTTTCAAACAGGCAAACATGCATTATTATTCAGTGCCAATTTCTTTTCTTTCTTAAAAAATATAATTCTATTAAATATTGCAGTCATATTTTTTTAAAAATATTTTTTCTGAGTAATGTGAAGGAAAGCCATGTGGAACTCTTAGCAAAATAACATTAAAATTATTTTCTGATATTTTAGGTGTCATCTCCACTTAATACCCTATTTATTCAGGCTTTCATTACACACAAGTACTACTTGGAGGGATTGTGTGCTCGAGTTAGCCCTGTTAGGCAGAGCTGCTTTTCACTCCTGCATTCAGCTCATAAATTCACCAAAGTGTTGCACATTTACTTTAGTAGAGGAATGGTTTGCTGTGTAAAAATCACAGTGTCTGCCATTCTAAAGCTTTCTCATTAGTTCCATGCCTACTGAATTCAGCTTGAATGCTTTGAAACTTTTCAAAGAAAACTGATATTCCAGGTCGTCTTCATCTCTTTTTAGTAATTTAAGTGTAGGTCTGTAGATCACATTTGTCTTATCTAACTAGAGCTAATTCTCTCTTAGTTCAGTCATTTTCTCTTTTAGCCAAATTGAGCAATGGACATTATTTTTCACATAGAGCATCAACATAC